CTGGGGGTGAAGACAAGACAAAGGTGAGTGGCCTAGTAATTAAAATTTTAATAGAAATCATATAAATTGCTATAACCCCTCGCTACGACACCTGTATAATTTCCAGACTTAGAATATAAAAATATACATTTTTATACACATATATTGATACAAGTCATGCTTCACATATTTAATCATATGTTAACTTATCACATATTCATTACATCTACTAGCTCATCACGTATTCACCACATATGTTAACTCATCACATATATTCATTATATATACTAGCATGTAAGTCGGAGTCACTTATAGTGACCTATACAACATATTCATATCTCATCACATATCTCATCAATCATGGCTAGCATATAAGTCGGAGTCACCTCTAGTGACCTATACGACATATTGATATCTCCTCACATATCTCATCAGTTATGGCTAGCATATAATAGTCGGAGTCACCTCTAGTGACATATACGACATATTCATATCTCATCACATATCTCATCAGTTATGGCTAGCATATAATAGTTGGAGTCACCTCTAGTGACATATACGACATATTGATATCTCATCACATATCTCATCAGTTATGACTAGCATATAATAGTCGGAGTCACCTCTAGTGACCTATGCGACATATTCATATCTCATCACATATCTCATCAGTTATGGCTAGCATATAATAGTCGGAGTCACCTCTAGTCACCTATACGACATATTGATATCTCATCACATATCTCATCAATTATGGCTAGCATATAATAGTCGGAGTCACCTCTAGTGACCTATACGACATATTGATTTCTCATCACATATCTCATCAGTTATGGCTAGCATATAATAGTTAGAGTCACCTCTAGTGACTTACACGACATATTGATATCTCATCAATTAACTAATATAGTAAACTTACTTGAATTTACCAAAACTTACCTAAACTTACCTGAACTTACACGTGTGTCATGCGTACCTTTGCACTTCAGAGCATTCACAGCACCACAATTATATATATGCAAACAATTCAACTCATTGTTTAAGTATTATTCAAAAGGCATGGCATTTTTAAAGCATAAATCATTTAATTGCGTTTTTCGGGAAAAACATCAAGCGTATACATATATACTTAAAACCAAAAGCCCACACACATTGCTCAATTCCTTAAACAAAGCTATGGTCTCAACTATTTAATCTCATTTCTTATATGGCTGCATCTAACTTCTCGTTAGACTGCCTACGTACCCTAAATAGGGATAAAGCCATTCGTAGTTCGCAACAATCATTTATAGTAATACACATATGGATAGATCACAATGAAATCTAACTCAACCATCTCATAGTATTTTATAACATATAAATATATATATATATATATATATATATGTGTGTGTCATGGCATAAGTTCTCAGATTTATTTAAAAGCATTTATAGAATTATCAATCATGAAATATAAGATGAGCAAGGAAAGATCCACTCACCTGGAGTCCGTGCTACAACTTCCTAGCACGAACATCGAGGCGTTATAAACGATCAGCGCTTGTGACCAAGGCCAATTTGGCCTGGAAAGGCTCCAATTTCATCAAAACCCGTGAAACCCTAGAGATGGGTGTGTTTCAATTCAACCTCCAAACGTGTTCCGGCGCCTTCACCACTGCTTGGGCATTGTTCATGGGTTCAAGGGGGGTCTAATGGTAGTGGTAATTAAAGGAAGACGTTTCACAAGTGGTGGATTTCGAGCAATGTTCCCCCACGGCACCCACCTTCGGTTTTTGAATAAATTACCACCAAATTCCTTCTAATTTTAAATGGAAATGGAAGAGGAAGGCTAGGAAGTTGTTTCTAGGTGGTGGTTTGCTTTGATTTGCCAGAAAAATGCCAGAAAAATGACGAAACCTCCTCTGGTCGCGCGAGTCCGCAGGTGCGCACGGGTCAACCAGTTTCTTATTCTTCTTCCTCTCTCATTTCCTCTCATTTCCTTCTTTCTAATTGGCCATCATCTCCTTCTATCTTCTCTCAATTCGATGGACTCTCTCTCCCGTCCCTCCTGTTCTCTTCCTTTCTCTTTTCCCGAATGGGCAGTTCTGCCCAGTCCCTTTTCTCTGTTTTTTTTTTCTTTCTTTTCTTTTCCCCTTTTCCTGTCACATACACACACACTCCCACTCACACACATACACTTGTCCTCATAATTACTATGCTATAATATAATATAATTAGAAAAGTTATTTCTTCAAAATACTTTCGGTTCGTCACTCCAAATTCACTTCCGCTTGTGCATACTCGATCGTATCGTCGATTACCTCAAGAATACACTAAAAGAATATTTAGTACATCTCACAATACGCTAGTCAATGAAAGTCAAAACCTTCATCTCTAGGGCATTTTCGTAATTTCACATTTTAAAATTTATAAATTAATAAAATCTGGGACGGGTTGTCACACGTTGAGATGTGTTATGTGTGACATACTTTTAGAGATGGACCAATATGTTAAGTTCCTAAGTTTTTGGACTCAATTAGAAGTTAGACTTTTGTTGGTTTTTTTTTTGTGACAAGCTGGACCACACCCTCACACACACACACACACACACACACACACACACACACACACACCACTCCCATGTACCCTCTATCTCCTCCATTTCTCAGATTTTCTTGCCATTTCCGTACAACCTGTACGGACAACCTTTAAAACCCTTTCAAACATCACGGATCGAAGTCGTGAATGGTGTTTTTGGACTCCTTGCAAGCTTAGGAGTCAAATGGAGGTGGTGGTTGGACGTGAAAACCTCGAAAACCTTTGAACTAGAATTCCCGATTTGGGTTATTGTTCATGCAGTCGTGATCGTGGACTTTTCTTCGAGTTTGAAGGTTATAGGGACTTTTAGGACGTTTTCACGAAGCTCGGGGAAGAAAGTTTGAGTGTTTTGGACGTCGGGAAGCTTAGTTTGACGAGTTTTAAATTTTGGCCGGACTATCGAGGTTTCTCCAGCGAAATCCCGTGGATTTCAAGGCTTGAAAGTGGTAAGAATGTGTTCTACTCACTCTAAGCTTCATTTTGATACAAATTTCATGAAGGTTAAGAAACGAATAAGATATGAAGTTTTAAAGTTTTTCCAGAAACCGGCGATCGCAGCGGCGCCGGCGAACCAAGGAAGACGAAGGAGAATATTCAGTCAAGTCTGACGAAATATTCTAACGGCGTCAGGTAACACCGTTAATTTCTGTTAGGGTTTTAACGGAATATTCCAAATAGCAGTTAAGTTTCCGTCAAGGTTGGCCGCGCGTGGGGGCGCGTCTGGCGATGCCCTTGCCGGCACGTGGGTGCTCATAATTTTTTTCTAAAAATATAGGGATGTTTCTGGGGTTGAGTAGGTATCGATGATATATTCAAATACCCCAATTTAGCACTGTATGAGAAGTTTTTACCTAGTTTTGTGTATATGCTTTAAATAATATTTATATAGTTGTTTCGCATATAAGTGAGACTTATCTTGAGGACGAGCGCAGTCAAGCAAGGCTCGGGGGTTACGACCCTTCCACATATCAGTGAGTGGGCTTTTGGTTTTCAGTATATACTTATATACTTGGTATTTTTCCCATAAAATGAGTTTAAATGAAATTTATGTTTTGAAATGTCATGCATATGGTATCATGCTTAGACTATGAATTAGTTTAGTATGCATAAATGTGATTTAACGTTGTGGGCGCTCAGGTAAGTATGAGGTAAGTTGTAGACTGTTTATATGAATTGATGATTATGTGAGATGTGTTGAGAGCTCATAACCTGCACTCCGGTGTTAGTGCTCCCGCCCGTGGTTAGGGGCATAGTCCTTCACGTGATGTTCACCTCCCGCACTATACGCTCACCTTGGATCCAAGTTAGGTGCGCAGTCTTGTCATACAGACCACTTTAGGTGGTTTCGACTCGTAGGTGACCCGCAATTATTCGCACAGTCTTCACGTGATCGTAGCAATAGAGCGTATTTATATTACATCTAGTCATGTCGTACAGACCACTTTAGGTGGTTCCGACTCGTGTGTAGGCATACTTGTTGAGCTATATATTCAGCCGTACATGCCACTTTAGGTGGATCCGGCTGATATGTTATTTCACCTGAGTTACTTATTATGTTATTTTGAGATATTTGACATGTCATACTTTTGAATATTACTATTCTGAGCATGGTTTTGAGATATGTATATATATATATGCATTCTAGCTTCTGGGAAATTATACAGGTTTTACGGCGAGGGGTTAGAATTTTTGTTAAATGAAATGGTTTTGAAAAGCTTTGTTTTTGCCCACTCACACTTTCTGTTTTGCGCCCCTCTAGGTTCTAGTTAGGTGTGCTTGTTGGTGGCTTACGAGGAATTCACGACAGTTCTAACAGATTATTGCCAACATAGGATTATCTTTGTTGTTGTATAATTAGTATTCGTCCGGCTGCACTGCACTTAGGCTACTTATGCTCTGATTGTGAATTTGCACATTACCTTATCTAGTGCTTTATTCGCATTTCCGTTTATCAATATTGCTTCCGAACTGTGCACATGGTTACGTCGCTCTCACGTGACGACCAGCATGCCCTGATCTAGGTCGAGGTGTGTCAAATGCGTCTTACTTGTAGGTATATTATGTTTTTTCTACATTTTAGTTAGGTTTCATATCTCACTTACAGGTATAATATACATTCTTAAATTTGTTACTTGAGTTAGGGTAGAATGCTTTGCAGATAGATTTATGTTCTTATATTAGTTTTTTTGTTATAAGATATTAATTAGATATTTTAGAGTTGAAAAATGCATAATATTAAAAGATTTTAATTGATTTTTAATATTTTTAGAAAACATTAAATGAGTATAAAAGAAATAAATACATATAATTAAATAACTGGACTCATTCCTAAAAACACCCTATGATTTTGGACCTGGATCTAAAAGTCCCAATTAATAAATCAAATCACAATTATTTAGTAACCCTAGCAGGCTAGTAGTAAAAATATATAAAAAAAAAATCACTTTTTTACGATATGAATACTACTATTACTCATTGGGACCCACTAAAGTTAAAAGTGCTAAAAAGTCAACGAATCACACATTCACAGTGTTGCAGAGGAACATGAGAGACGATGCGGACGCATCCCCGCCACCACCGGCGCCGAGCCTCCCGCTTCTCTCGTAGTAATCAACACAGAACAACGACAGCGAGAGCTGGACCTCGTCCCGCGTCCAGACTCGCTTGACCATTTCCGAGTCACTGAGTCGACTCAGGACAGGGCGCATGCAGACCCTGTAGAGCCTCTTGTAGCCGCCGAGGGCGACGACTACGGGTCTCACGGAGCAGGGTGGGGGAGATGACACGTGTCGGAAGCAAAGGTGTTCCCAGATGGTGTCGTTTCTGGCGACTGTGGACCAGAGGTGGCAGACGCAGGCGGCGACGCCAAGGGAGGGGCCGTCGAGGCGTTTGAGGATCTCGACGAGGATGTCAATGTGGTCGTTGATGAAGAACTTGGGTCTTTTCTCTTTACTGTCTTGTGATGATGTGTTTTGGTTTTGATGCATGGTGGTTTTTGGTGGTGGTATATGGTGTCGCTAACTAGCTAGCTGATGCAAAGTTGCAAACTACACTTGCACTACAGAGAGAGAGTGAGAGAGAGGAGATAAATAATGAAGAGAGACTAAAGGGTTTATATATTTATATAGGCTTATGCATGAAGGTGTAATTTGTAGTCATAAAGTGAGGTTTAGCCGTTACGGGGGTTTGACTTGTGCACGAGAGAGAGAGAGAGAGAGAGAGAGAGAGAGAGAGAGAGAGAGAGAGAGAGAGAGAGAGAGTTTTATTTTGGTTTTTGGTTAGGGTTGAGATTGTTTGATCAACCTGTCGTTAATACTGGTCAATATTCACAAGTTACTGTAAATTAGTACTATCGACAACATATGATTTTAAAAATGGATGTTTATCTTAGCAAATGTTTTAAGTTATCAAATTTGTATTACTAAATGATATGTGTCCATATACATTTTAATAGTTCACTTATTAATAATATAGGACACAAACTTTGAACATCACGTCATTTGATGAATAAGTTGGATAAATATATTTTGGTATCGTTTGGTATGCAGACGAGACGGGACGAGATAAGACGGGATAGAACGAAGAGGGAGCAAAGATGCTCTCGGATGGAAACAAGGAGGAACAAGGAGACGGAGAGGTTATAATTTTGTGTTCCATTAATGTGGAACGAGTCGTTCCAGGAGGTGAGGCGGAACGAAAATTCATCCAAAATTCGTCCCGTAGAACAATGCGTTCCACCCGTTTTAGGCGCACCAAACGTGGAACGGAACATCTCGTCCCACTTCGTTCCGTTCCGTCCCACGTATCAAACGGTGCCTTAAGTCCCTCCCTAATAGCTAGTACTCTTAGCTATACTGTTCTGTTAACGAGTAAGTTTAATTAATAAAGAAAAGAAAAATGAAGGTTTGGGTTGGAGAAGGAGGAGGGATGCCTAATAGAGTCTGTGTATCTTGCGTGGGTATCGAGGGAAGGGAGAAGGGGCCAAAGGAAAAGTTCCAAGGCACAGATAACTGGAACCGATGCTGAATATTGCTCATCTCTTTTTTTTTTTCTCTTTCATTTTCTGCTTTTGAATATTGTTTTTTGGGGTTAAGTAGCTAGATTTGTTGTTTGTTGTTTTTGTTGTTTTGTATATTGTTATTGTGTGTGCAGCTGTGAATACTTCAAGACTTTGGTTTTAAGCCCGTGTGAAAGTCTATGGTTATTGCTTCGCTGCGTGTCTTCGTCTACGTTAAGCCAAGTTGTGGACCATCTAGTAAGTATGGTAGCAGCTAGGGTTTTGTAGCGTGCGTGTGTGTGAATAATTCTAAGGACAAATAACTTCCTAGCCTCTAAATATAAAAAGCAAACCCTATGAAGGGATCCGTACAATTATCAACGATCACTAATTCTTTGCATACTCGCGTACGATTGCCAATGATATATATTTTATAGTTTTTATTAAAATAAAGGCAGCAATATGCGATTAGCGGTGGCATTATGCCATTATGTAACATCCCACATCGTCCAGGGAAGTGGATCCTATAAGCCTTATATGTATATTCTTATCCCTACCTAGCATGAGACATTTTTCGAGCTCACTGGCTTCTGGTTCCATCGGAACTCCGAAGTTAAGCGAGTAGCGCGCGAGAGCACTCCTATGATGGATGACCCATTAGGAAGTTCTCGTGTGAGTTCCCAGAAATAAAACCGTAAGGGTGTGGTCGGGGTCCAAAGTAGACAATATCGTGCTATGGGGGAGTTGAGCCCGAGATGTGATGGGGGCCCGGGCTGGGATATGACAATTATCTTAACAAGATATATATATATATATATATGTATGTATGTATGTATGTATGTATGTATGTATGTATGTATGTATGTATTTCATAGTTGTAGTAAAAATAATCCACTCTCACTAAATTGAGCTCTAATAAGTTCATGACTCAACTAATTATAATTTGCTTAAGTGGTGGAGGCCAAATGGAAGGATAAAAGGAACTGCATGCTGCATCAGATTCAGATGATGGGTTTCTTCTTCTTCTTCCATGTAACACAGAAAAGTGATATTATATCACATAGGAGGATGTGTTTACAAGTTTCCTCTGCAGGAAAAATAATTGAGACGAGGGGCATTGGATACCAACCACAGCAATAGCAGACTTTTTAGATGTGAGTCAGCAACTATCTGCTTGTCCTCATGAGGTTGGAATTTGGCTCAGAAAGGAAGCCCCCCCCCCCTCCCCAAAGGTCCTCTTAGACAGGAAGCATATAACAAACGAAAGAAAAAAATACCAATAAAATAAAAGGCTTTGAGATTTGACATTGGATTTTATAAAGATAGGAGGAGGACTACTACCCCACACAATTTCCTGCATTTTAGAGAGCTGCGTGTTTTGTATTGTGTTGTTGGACTCACTTGAAAGAGAGAGCACTGTTTTCTATTCTCTTGCAGTGAAGAAAGAATTTGATATATAATTGCAAAACTACAAGCAGATCAAACCTTTAAGGCACATGAAATTTTCACAGTTTTCACTCACTCCCCTGAAGTCTGTCATTTGTACTTTGTTGTTTGTAAAGTATGTGCCACATAAATAGGTCAACATTACTCTATTCTAAACTTGGAGAGGGGTGGCACTGTAGCTAAGCTACAATGCAATTGAGCCATGTATGTAAATGTAATTAGCTAGGGCCTATTTAAACGTATATGGTTTCTTTTTAAGGTTAACGGTTTTATTAGTGGAGCAAGTTCATTTTCATCAAATAGATAGTGGGTTGAATGCTATAATATGTAAGTACACTTAAGATGTATTGTTGTTGAAAACAAATGTATATTTTTCTAATATTGCTTTTCATTTTGTGGACATAAATCAAAAATTTTTTTCTTGCACAAATATATGGGATTAGAAAACTTTAGTATATTTCTTTATTTACATGACAAATTTCTCGATCTGGTATAACGCGCGAGCATGAATACTTGTGTATTCTATTATGAGAATATTCTATTATGAGAATAGAGGTTTTCCCCTATGGTTTGATCAAATCTTGCATTTCCCTACTATTTGACCAAATATTGCATTGGCACTCAGATCTATGACCCAATAAGTTGAGCATATCATAGTTGGAAAGTTAATCAGAATGAGAAATGAAATTCACGCACCTTATATTTTTTTTAAGAAAAATTAACAAAAAGGTTTCCAAACTTTAAATCTTAACCATAAGTATTTTAATAGCTTTATTTAATGATTAGAATAAAATCCAACATCAAACAGCTCAATTAGATTGGCCAACCAAAATAATTGATCGAGTTTCGATTTTGCTCTTTCACAATTTTGGTTCAACTGATTTTCTTCTTTCCAATTTTAAATTTTTCATAAGTCTCTCATACGGTAACGAAATTTAGGCCCTGTTTGGCAGATCAGATAAAGGATCGGATATGATTAGTTATACGGAGCCGGGTGTTTGGCGTCCCTTCGTACTAAATAAGCACCGGATTAATCTAACCGGTCTGCTTATTTAAGCAGGTATACGCCTGCTTAATAAAACAAACCAAAAGGCTCGGATTATTTAAGCAGGTTGTCGTCCTCCCCGTCACCTTCTCTCGCCGTCGTCGTCCTCCCCGTCCTAGCCGTCACCTCTCGCCATCGCCGTCCTCGCCGTCACCTCTCGTCATCGCCGTCCTCGTCGTCACCTCTCACCATCGCCGTCACCCCTCGCCCTCTCCTTGTGGCCTTCCTCATCGCCTACTCGCCATCCTCCCTTGCAACTGGGTCTTGCAAAGAAACATGGTGCGGCTGACAGATGATTTCAATTTGGGATTCTGCTGCAACTGGTTGTTTGAATTTATTTGGGATTCTTCTGCAGTCGAGAAAAAAGAAGAAGGGAGAAAGAGGGAGGGAGTTTAGGGGGTGCGGTGGAGAGATATGGGGAACAATTATTTGGGATTATGCAGTCGGGGAAGAAGAAGAAGGGAGAGAAAGGGAGGGAGTTTGGGGGTGCGGAGACATCTGGGAACAAAAAGCTGATTTCAGTTTTTTTTTTTTTTTTTAGTTTAATTTTATTTTAAGTTTGATTCCTCTTATCCGGTATAATACCAAACACAATATAAATAATACGATCATTAGTCCGATACTGCACCAAACGCTCGACTAATTTAGTCAGTACTATCCGATGACTATTTATCCTATCCGACAGAAATAGTCAGTACAGTTCGAGCTGCCAAACGAGGCCTTAATGTCTATGGAAATCAAGTTGTTCAAAGGTGACGTTTTTCCAGTGATTTTTGCCAATTTTCGACCAAACGTGATGAAATTAGTCCTCAACCCAAGAGAGAAGATCCTGTCCTCGTGGGCTTCCTGTGAAGCAACAAAGTTATAGACTAAGAAAACACCCTAACAAACTTATAACAGAATATGTAATCTATTGACATGTGGCACTACATCATCTATTGATCCTATACTGTTATCACTTTCTTTTTGTGTACGTGCCTCCTCAAAACTGATACTTTCAGATTTGGTTCTAGAAATAGTAGCAGCATTTAGTTCTGGAAATAATCACAGTATTTAGTTTTAGAAATAGTAGCAATATTTAGTTCTAGAAATAGTTGTAGTGGTAGTTTTCAGTTCTAAAAATAGTAGCAGTAACAATGTTCAGTTCTAGAAATAGTTGCAGTGCTCAGTTTGAGAATAATGGCAGTACAATGTTCAGTTCGAGAAATAATGGCACTACAGTGTTCAGTTCTAAAAATAGTTGCAATAGTTTAACGGATCTACTAGGGTAACGCCCATTAAGGGCAAGGGCTAGAAGAGAAAAATGGGAGGGTTGCATTTGCTTCCAAGCCTTGAGTTTTAATATTTAGAGTTTGATATATGTAATTTGTGTTCTTTTCATTAAACAGAGTTATTAGGGTATTTTTAGTTAAGAAAAAAGGATTTAGAAAAGTCCTTTCCATTAAATCTCCTTTCTATGCACACCATTGTTAATTTATATTCATTAGATAGGTTTTAATTTATTCAATTGGAATGAGTTGTGTATGTAGTTGGAAAAATGAGTTGTGAAAATCATATTTTCCAATTTGAATCTCTAAACAATGGCAAATGCATGCACTTCACGTAATGACTATTGAGATTTTACACAATATGTACCGATGATGTTAGAGCTTATAACTTTTTGCTTTCTGTATAGATTGAAATATTATCGATTCTAAAGTTGAGGAGCAACGTGGCAATAGCTTAGCTACAGTCAATTATTTGCCCTTGATTTTGTTTTATTTACACAATGGGCCATCAAATCTGTTGGGCTAGGGTTTGGGCTCCCCCTTTCTCTTCATGAGCTTTGTGTTGGGTTTCGGTAAGAAGCTCGGCCCTCAGTCAGGCCCTTAATGATTTAATTACATTTCAGCCCACCAAAGATTACAATCCGAATCCGATAGTGGGGATGGTGTACTTGGAATGGCAATTTTGTCCTCTCGGTTTTGAGCGAATTAGGGGGTAGCCGGGTAGGTTTTCAGTTGTCGTTCAATGAGGGTTTCGGGGAGGCTATGAGAGAGAGAGAGAGAGAGAGAGAGAGAGAGAGGGAGGGATGAAGGGAGGGAGACAGACAGAGACGGAGGTAGATGGCGATGGAAAGAGAGCGAGGGGGAGGGGGAGGGGTAGGGGTGATGGATTTCACAAGTGGGAGAGTGGGGATGGTCAGAGAAAACCATAGGGGTCGTCCGGATCTCGAGCTGCATGCTTGGATTTCCAAAGATAAGTTCGTTTTTTTAATTCGATTCTTTACCATTAGCTTAGATTGTCATCATTTCTGCCTTTTTGTTGTGAATTATTTTCGAATTTTTTAGTGCGTTAGGTCAGGTTTTGGGGGATTCATCTCTCTGTTTATTCCCTTATTTGTTTCATTTTCTCTCATTTTGGGGATTCATCTCTCTGTTATGTCTGTTTGTTCTTTGTTCTAAGGTCAGTTGCTTTTTTTTTTTTTTTTTTGGGGAGAATTTGTGTTTGGTTGTCGGATTTAATTTGGTTTTTGCTTTCAGGAAAAACTGGGGTTCGAGTTTTGGGGTTTTTGATGTGGGTTTGGTTTCTTTTTCGTGGGATTTGTTGTATTTGTACCCTTTGGGTTTAGGTTTCATCAGATGGCGTTTGTAGTGTTTATATTGAACTGTCGACTCTTTTATTCTTTGTAGGTGAAATTGAAGGTCAGTAATCTCTTAAATTGATGAGGGGGCTACAATTCGTGCAAGGAAAAACCAGAGATATGCTACTATTTTGGAAGAGAACAGATAAAGAGATGGTATCCTTCCCTTCTCCTCTGGAAATGCATTGAGTACAAGAAGTATGTGCTTGAAAATATAAAAATGCATGTCTTTTTATTTAAATTTAGTCCTCTTTAATGATGTGTAGGAGGCCTCAAATTCATATCTTGAAATATTCATGTCTAAAGTTCTGTAGATCTTCTGTTTTGGGTTTTTTATTTTATTTATTTATTTTTTCTTTCTAAATATTATATACTTTAATTCATAAGTTGAGCAGTTTGTGTTACCCCTGTTGTCTCATTATTTAATTCCGGACATTACACTAAACGTGTTCAATCAGTTTCATAATTTCTGATAAGTTCATGCCCATTGAACGCATCAACTTATTATACATATATATATATATATATGTGTGTGTGTGTATGTGTGTATGTATATGTATATGATATATGTGACTGCTTGAATCAGGACTTATCGAATGAATGCAGCAGCAAGGAAATTTGAGCCTTGGCCTGTAGAGATACAATTTTGCAAGGAAGCTAGGTACCTTCTAAACTTATTGGATGTGAAGATTTGTATGATCAAATTTGTGATTAATGTAATTGGATTCTATTAAATTTTTCATGATTTTATAGAATTTTTGCTTTAAATTTGTGGGTTTTGGAGAATTCTTAGTCAAATTTATGGGTTTTTTTTTATGCGAATTTATGTGAGATTAATCAACTGCAATGTCAGATATGATAATAGGTGGGCATGTTCATATGTTTTCCAATGTTGTTATATACTTTCCTATCAACTTTGAATGTTGAATTAGTCAACTATTAATGTCAGATTAATCAAAAGTTGGGCATCAGTTCATATGTTTTTCAATGTTTTATAAAAACGATGCAATTTTCACTTGGTTTTGAGTATGTGGTTTTTTAAGTAGAATAGTGGGAGATTCATTTGTAAAAATTCCTCAATGATCATCTTAAAGCGCTCTAATACATGCATAATCTGAATGAATATGTAAAGACTACTTGAGAAACTGACAGTATACAAAATATGAATGATTTTATTTGTTTCTGTCTTTTTCTGGGTTTGTCTGCTATGGCTATTATGAGTTTCTGGTTTTCTTCATGTTTCAGGCAGTTGCTTCTTTAGGGACTTATGACATAGCATTAGAGATGGGAAAGAAGGTGATATGTCAAAGGTAATTTTCGTTATCCGTTCAATTTTGATGGTGGTCCTTATCTTAGTTGTGTTTATTTTCTATGTTGTATATATCCATATACATATGTGTATGTGTGTGTAGCTCGATCATCTAACAAAAAACATGCTAAACTATATAGAAAATGAAAATGATATGTATTAGTGTGTAAAGGTGTTGCCTTTTTATTATTTTGTAGTACACTACTTTTATTGTGCTAGGCACTATTCTCTATCATTCAGAAGTAATTTGCACACAACAATTTAGAACGTTTTATGTGTAAATTTCCAAAATCATGGCACTATTGATGGTTGCTCTCTAAGCTACCAAATTAGGTCGTACCCAGTGCACAAGGCTCCCGCTTTACGCAGGGTCTGGGAGAGGTGAATGTCGGCTAGCCTTACCCCCATTTATGGAGAGGCTGCTCTCAAGTCTCGAACCCGAGACCTACCGCTCATGGGCGAAGGCACTTGCCATCGCACCAAGGGCGACCTCTAAGCTGCCAAATTAGGTAAAAAAAAAAAATCTGAGCTGTCAATTTTTTGCTTGGTGTACTTGATGACATTACTAGGTTCATAGTGTATTGAACCTGCAATGGTTGGCAGGCATTGTGGGTGTACCATGTGCAGATGATTAGGGAGGGTGCAATACCAAGTGAAGAATTACACCTTGAGAAGGTAGACTTTCCTTCATTTAGATTTTGACCTCTATGTCTGGAAAATAAGGTTTGTGATTTTGGTATGCATATGTGGTTCTTGGTTTTAAGAACAAAAGTTACTTTTGTTTTGAAATTGCAATTTGAGTTGGTGTCTGTGTCTGTGTGTTCTGTGAATTTGTTTTGAGTCTGTGTGTTCTGTGAATTTGTTTTGAGAACAAAAGTTACATTGGTTTTGAAATGGCATGCTTGATTCTGTCAAAAGTAGGAAAAAAATGGAATTTTTAGTTGGTTTATATAATGTTTTATACAAAGTCTTAAAATGGCATGCTTGATTCATTCAAAAGTAGGAAAAAATGGGATTTTTGAAGTGAATTTGTCCTGTTTTGGTTCAATGGTTTGGGCAATATGGACAAAAGTTACATTGGTTTTTCAAATGGCATGCTTGATTCATTCAAAAGTAGAAAAAATTGGGATTTTTGCAGTGAATTTGTTCTGTTTTGGTTCAATGGTTTAGGCAAAAAACAAAGCTGCCTATTTGGTTCAATAGTTTGGGCCCTATTAAAATGCCATGCTTGAATGTTCCTCTGTGTGTGTGTGTTCTGTGTTTTGTGTTTTATTTGGCTTCTGCTTTAATTAGATTTCAATCTTTAGACTAAATAAAACAGAACATGAATAGATTGTTAATGGATTTACTATGCTTGGGAATTTCAGGAATTTGGATCGTTGGAGGGAGAAGTTGGTCCCTTGGCATTTTGAGGTGTATAGTTATATGCCCTTGGCATTTTAATGCAATTGAAAATGCATTACGGAAAACACAGAAGTTATATTGTGGAGCACCAATGTAACACGAAATATAAAATTTTCCTTCTACAATGCAAGGTTTGAACTTTGAACTTAAAATTCAAATTTGAGTATGTGTAAATTGGAGGAAAAATGTGAAAACTCAATCATTTTTTTTTATCCACATGTGCGAATATGTATTTTAAGGTTAATATGTTCTGTAGGATCAGGAAAGTCAAGAAGAATAAACTAAACATTTCTTTGCCCAAACACGTAGTTATAAGAACTTGGAAACAATGTGATCCAAACAAACCAGCGGAGAAAAGGTAAGCCGAGAAAGACTTGAAAAACAGACAATTAATTTACAGCCATGGTTGTAAAATCAGTGCAATATATGACACATATACTTGGCCAACTGCTCTCTTAGCTAGAAGTGAACCATTTGCGGAATCTGTGGTCTGATATAGGCTGGGAAACTTAGCAACAAATGCTTGTAGGTTTTCTCTATGGCATTATGAAATTCTCAATTTTCATCTTATCGCTATGTCATCAATCTTCAATTGTTGTGTCGTTGAAATTTATTGTTTGATTAGTTTAATAATTTGAAAATGACATTTGATAATTCGGTTGGAGAAGTACAAAATTTGACATAAGGCTTCAAATTGTCACTTCAACCATGAATTGTAATTTAACATTTCCTTTGAGGATGGTCTAACGGTCCATATTTTTTTTTTTCAAGTCCAACAATAAAAAAAATCCAACGGTTGAAATTTAAATCTAATGATCATAATAAAATAAAAAATTTAAAATAGATCCACTTTAAAAAAATTATTCCAATCCCATCACCCGGACAAGGCGTATAGTTTTAGCTTATATGAACTATCATTTATGTTTTTAATTACTATTCAAGTTTTCAATTTATCTTATGAACTATCATCTATATTGAAGTTGATTGAGTGGTTGGTTGGTGTGATACGTTTGGTTTTAAAAAAAAATTCAAAATATAATTTTCTTAGGTTAAAACATCTGTAAAATTAAATTATGATAACATAAAAAGTTAAACAAAAATCCTTACAAAAAAAAAAAAAAAGGGTTAAAACCATTCCACACCAATTAGTATATTTTAGGTCCTAAAATTTAGATCATGAGGGTTGGGTGACATTCATTGTTCACAAAGCTAAATTCTATCTCTTAGGGTGCGTTTAGTACGTGGAACGGGACGGGACGGAACGGGACGAGGCGTTCCGTCCCGCGTTTGGTGCGCCTAAAACGAGTGGAACGATGTGTTCCACGGGACAAGTTTTTGATGATTTTTGGTTCCACCTCCCCCCTGTGGAACGGGTTGTTCCACGTCCGTGGGACAGAAATTTTTAACATTTTAGGACAAAAATACCCCTTGTCTTTTTCAAAATTTACAGCATCAAAATCATATAACAAACCCTAAAAACCATTTCTCTTCTTCTCAGCCGCTGACCCTCTTCGCAACCTTCCTCCTCATCTTCTTCACATCTCCCCTTCGCAACTCTTCCGTGTAGCGGCTCTGCATCTCCCCTTCACAACTCTTCCGTGTAGCAGCTCTGCGATCCTCTTCCGTATAGCATCTTCAGATCTGCATCTCCGTTCCAGGTTCGATCTGTTTTTGTGTAGCTCTCGGTCTCTCTTTCTCTGTAAAAAAATTTCTTTGTAATTTGATGGCATTACAGTGAAAACCAATTGTTCAAATGTTTTTTATTTGTTCTTTGTTTACCCTATACGTAATACGGTAAGTTCTTTGTTTACCCAATTGTTCAGATCTGCATCTCCCTATCCGGCCGCCATTGAAGCTCTGCTACGAAGCTCTCTCTTTGTTCACCCTATACGTAATACGGTAAGTTCTCCTCAACATACCTGCATCCATCTTCGTAATACCATAGAGAAAATTGAATGTGATTTTTTTGTGCATAAATCTTTGAATTTCTCTTCCGATTCTCATATGTATATGCGTGTATGTGTATGTTTAAATGTGTGTGTGTGTCTGATTCCTTGTGATGTTTGGATGGGCAGAGATGAAGGTTGTTGCTGCATACTTGCTCGCTGTGTTTGGGAGGGAAGGCGAGCCCCTCAGCTAGCTGCTGACTTGAAGGACATTCTTGGATCAGGTAACTTTTATATTAAAAAAAATTCTTTGTTGCTGCAACGACGTGCGATTCAAGTTAAAATTGATATTATTGTCATTGTATTGTTTGTGTTAAAATTGGGATTTCCGTTTGTGGGCTTTTCTTGGTTTATTTAAATTTATGTTTGATGGATTTTTTTTCGGTTTGTTTATACGGATGCTGATAATTAGTATATGTAGTCTTTTATATACAGGTTTCCTAGTCATGTTAGTCATCTTAGCTTGAATTTTGTTTTGAACTCTTAACCCCTACACCATTGGCAAGGGTTCTAGTCCTGCACCCATCCACTTTTGGATGAAAGAGTTATTCATTTAGTTTATATGTTAAAACAAAATTGTGGAGATTTCGGTTGCGTAATGCTCATTTCGTCTATTAGTTTTTATTAATTTTAACTTGAGATGGAATTTTGATAATCAGTCTTGCAACCTATATCCATGCGCAATGGTTGAATTTCTGTATTGAAATGGAAGTGGTTTTGTCATTGGAATTCGGTCATTATGTTATCCGGGATGATGAAAAGTTAGAAAATACCTTCATATGTGAGATGTGTCATTAGTAGTAAATTATCCTTGACAAGGTACTGTTTGCACGGAGAAGATGCTTAGGTTGCCCTGGGTACTAGTATTTAAAAAAAGTGTATTATTATTTGTACAACAACGTTTTGCACTCTGAAATGTAACTTCATTATTTGTTTGGTTACAGTTGGAGCCGAGGCTGATAATGACAAGATTGAGTTGCTATTGTCCGAAGTCAAGGGAAAAGATATCACCGAGCTAATCGCATCTGGAAGGGAGAAGTTGGCATCTGTTCCATCTGGTGGTGGTGCAGTTGCTTATTCCGCACCTGCAGCCGTCGGTGGTGGTGGGGCTGCTGCTCCTGCCGCTGCCGAGCAGAAGGAGGAGGAGAAGGTGGAAGAAAAGGAAGAATCAGACGATGTAAATATATTATGTCAAATGCAGCTGTTGATAATATCTAGTTTGCTTTGTTTGCAAGTTGGGCTGTTCTAATTTTATTGTGATTGTTTAATAACTACTAAAATCGTTTTTTTCTTTTTTGCAGGATATGGGTTTCAGCCTTTTCGACTAAGGGACTTGCTTTTGGTGCGTTTCCTGTATCAAGACTTGACATCTTCAGTATTACTTTCAGACCAATGCTGTGTTTTTAAGTTTCTATTTGTAGTTGGATATGGTTCTAGATCTCAAAAATTTTGTTTCGATATGCAAGTGATCAAAGAAATTTGCTTTATATATTATTACCATCTATTTGAGTCGACTTAAGATTGCTTGCTTGTGGTTTAATGCGGGTCTGGTTCATTTACCTGCGAAGCGAAAAGTATGCCTTTGAACACATTACTGTTCGGACGTCGGTGTTTGGTTCCAATAATCAACCACAACCAACCAAACCACACGAAACAACCACAACCAACCAAACCACACGAAACAACAAATACAACGTAAAATGGAACAACATGAAACATGGTCTTCAACATTTCTCCTGTGCTCTTGTGTGGTTTGCCACGCAATGCAATGGGGAATATTTAGAGGGGTGTCCATCGAATCAAGGCCAATTCTAATGTTTGCAGAACCTGAACTCCCAGAACAACAACCCACAATTGAAAGGACCAAAATTAGGGACTAAAAATTGAATAAGGGTGTGGGTTTTGCAATTTGCATAATAAAATTTGATGGGTTTGTGCTGAAAATTTGAATGGAGTTGTAGAAAACTGGGAGATTAAAAATTACAAATTTTAAAAGGGTTTGCATGTGGAACACAACATATACCTATTAAAATTTGGACCAAGAAAAACAAATAATGGATAATAGTGTTCAAATTTGAACCAAAAAAAAAAAAAAAAAAAAACTGTCCTGTTCCGTCCATGTGTTACCAAACGCAGAACGGAACATGGGTATTTTAGTCATTTTAATCTTTTAGTTCCGTTCCGTCCATGCGCTACCAAACGCAGAACGGAACAACTGGCATGTTCCGTCCTGCGCGTACCAAACACAACACAGAACATCCGTTCCGTCCCGTCCCGTCCCGTTCCGTCCCGTCTCGTCCCGTCCCGTCCTGTCTGCGTACCAAACGCTACCTTAGTGAACCTGAATATTTGAGTTTGGGTCTACAAGTTTGAGTCGGCCTTATCATGGGTTTACGTAAAAAGCCTAATAAATTTTGACCTAGAAACAAATGGACATTGAAAATGCAATGCCAACTACTTTATTGATAACATTGAATTTTTTTTTATTTTTTTAGTACATTGATAACACTGAATTTGATCAAGTAGAAATACAATACAAAGCAAACTTAGAACCTCACTATTGTAATATAACGTAACATATACTGAAGCACGAGAAATCTTAGACCAAAAAAAAAAAAAAAAAAATGGAAGCACCAGAAGAAATCATATAAAAACAAGACATTGGCCTTCAAGGCCCAAACACTTTTCTAACCGCTAGACGCATCAAGCTAGGTTCTGCGTCCCCTCCTCGCCCTTGTGGTTGTTTGCTTCCTCCTCCTGCTGAATTTCTCCGCAAACCATTCATGCTTTTTGTCTGCCAACGTGTTTCCAGCAACCACTCCCACTATTAGTCCGCTAACAACTCCCGGCAAGACTACATACCAGTCAAACTCAAATGGAAATCCAGCCCTTTCATCTTCTTCAAAGCTTGATGGTGGCGCCAGCCTCGAGCTCTCATAACCCTCGCATTTCTTGGACAAAGGCTTTCCACACAGACCTGAGTTTCCTTGGTATGAATCTTCTAGGAATGTACCAAATTGTTGGCCAATTGGTATAGGTCCCCAAAGATGGTTATGCGACACATTGAAGTACTCAAGGAAAGTGAGTTGTGCCAAGCTATCAGGGATCCTTCCGGAGAGCTTGTTTTGAGAGAGATCCAACGATTCAAGAGCAGTCAAGTTCCCTAAAGATGAGGGGATGTGACTAGAGAGAGCGTTGTTGGAGAGGTTTAGCAACTGAAGTTCTCTTAGACTCCCAATGATACTTGCTGGAATATCTCCTTCAAATCTATTACTTGAGAAATCTATGAGTCTCAAATCATAAGGGGTCCGATAATATGTCAACTTAACACCTTTTACAGGAATTATCATATCGTATGAAAATTGATAGTAATTTCCATATTTATTTGTGCTGACGTTCGATGAGACTTCAAAGTACCGGCTTCC